GCCCCAGCTCAGATTGATTCAGGTGCCCCAACACGTAGCCAGGGTTGAGAACCGCTCACTCAGGTGGGCTGTGGTAGGGTTCTGGATTTTATTCTGAGATAGGAAGCCACTGGCCTCTGTTTTTGAAGGCTCAGAGAGTCAAATAGGAGGTGTCAGCCCCTATGACGAGGGTGTCAGGGCAGGGAGAGGAAGGATCCCCCAGGCGGTGGTAGAGCAGCAGCAGGTGCCATGGGAAGGGAGAAGGGAAGTACCTGCTCTCCTGTGTTGCTGTGAGAGGAACTGTCATCCTAACCCCAGGGAGGGCCACAGGGGCTCTAGCATTAGGTAACCTGCGTGGCCGCACAGGGAGTAAGGTGGACTGTTAGAATTCCAACCCAGGGCTGCCTACCTGAGCAGCTGCCTCCCGGCAGGTGTAGCCTCTGACATGGACGCTCCACCTCACTCGTTTGAATGGAGGATGGGTGTCTGGTTTCCAGGGACTAGGAAATCCTTGCCTTCTGGTCACCTAAAAGCACTGTATGACAGGCGGCCAGTAGGTACCTGGGGGTTGGGCAAAAGTCACTATCCCCCACCCCACCAGGTGCCCCCTGCCATCACTCAGCCCCTCTTCTGGACCCTCAGAACTTCCCACCATTTGCCAACTAAAGGCATCATTGGGCACCGGGGCTCTGCTCCCACCCCAGCTGTGGCGGCCGGGTGGCTGGCATCATTGCTGATGGTCAGTGCCCAGACTCTAGGCGAGTGTGTGCCAATTCTCCTACACAGGATGGCGGGGCCAAGGGCAGCTCTGATGAGATGGCAGATGCCACTTGGCCACTCCTACTTCCTCCCTTGTTTTCTCCCCTCCCTTCTCCTGCTTCTTTTTCCTTCTCTCAGTGCCCCTTGGGGCACTAGGTATTACTCAGTGGGTGCCCAGAGTAACAATAATCTGACGCAGCCTCTTTTCTAAGGAAGAAGGAGATGTTGCAGCCTCCCTCTTCAATCAACCCAAGCCTCCAGTCCCTGAGACATGATCTGAAAGCCAAGCATCAACCCTTGCTCCTGCACCCCCAGGTCCTTCTCATTGATGTAACGCAAACATGGAGAGCCATGTCATGGACAGGGCGTGGCAGGGAGGATCACGGCTGCCCTCCTGCATGAGGTCAGCACTCCAGTTTGCCCCTTTCTGGGCTAGAAGCTTCTAGCCCAGTTCCTTATCTTCCTGTCTCTGCCAGAGCTCCTCCCTCCTTAATTCACTCATTATCCATCAGATGGTTTCAGACTCTGTGCCAGGCTCTGTTTTCAGTACCCAGGATACAAACTTGACCCTGACTTAGACCCCACTCCCAGGAGCTCAGCGTCTCAGAGGCGGCTAGGATGTAATCTTTTCTTCCTCTTAGCTTCTTAAGATCTCAGCTACTTGGGAGAAAGACAGTTGTCCATTAGTCATTCTATTAAAATTTGCCAAGGGTTTTTTTTTTTTTTTTTTTTTTTTAATTTCAAGAACAATAAAAATGTTTAATGCCCTCGTGTTTTCCCTGGAGGAGTGATTGACTAAGTCCTAGGTTCCTGGGGAGAAGGAATCTTGCACAACCAGGGAAATAACACAGAGGCTCCAAAATCACACACACTTGGATTCAAATCCAAACTCTATGGCTTGCAAGCTGTAGAGAATGCTTGGGAATGTTCCTTAACTGTTCCATGCCTCAGTTTTCCTCTCTGTAAAATGGAGATAGTGATAACGCCTATTTCACAAGGTCGTGAGGATTTAAGAATGAATATTTAGGCCAGGCCTCGTGGTTCACGCTTGTAATCCCAGCAATTTGGGAGGCTGAGGCGGGTGGATCTCTTGAGACCAGGAGTTCGAGACTAACCTGGCCAACATAGTGAAGCCCCGTCTTTACTAAAAATACAAAAATTATCCAGGCATGGTGGTGCATGCCTGTAATCCCAGCTACTTGGGAGGCTGAGACAAGAGAATCGTTTGAATCCAGGAGGTGGAGGTTGCAGTGAGCCAAGACCACGCCACTACACTCCAGCCTAGGCGACAGAGTGAGACCTTATCTAAAAAATAAATAAATAAATAAAAATAAATTTTAAAAAGGCCCAGAGTGCTGGACTAGTGGAGCTTCACATCCTCACTCTGCACACCCCCACCCACTTCTCCATCAGCAGGAATTCCAGCTCCCTCCCTCCCCAGGGATCACAGTCCTGGAAGTAAAATGGAAGATCATATGCTTTTTTTTTTTTTTTTTTTTGCATTCTTCACTCTTGATAAGATCTCAATCAGCAAGAATGTATAAAGAACATCCTACTTAAAAGATTTTGCGAGACTTTTAAAAAGATGACCTCAGCCCAGAGTTTTGTTTCCGTGGCAGCTTTAAATGTAGCTGGGGAAGTAAACATGGAAAGAGAATTTATGATAAAAGGCATTGTTGGGTCAGGTGTCACTCACAGTGGATCCGCTGCCTTTTGAGGTAGTAAGCACTTTGTCCCCCAGACTGGGAAACCACTTGGGAATTCCAGGGGCACCACTGCCTGTGGTGCACCTTGCCAGCTTCCTGAGGAGGCAGCAGCAGATCTGCACCTGGCCTGACCCTATTCGTTGCATCTCTCTTTTTTGCTGTGCAGAGTAGCAAGGTGTAACTGGCAGATGAGATACAGTCCTCAGAGAAGCCAAAGGAATGTTGCAAAGCATGATTCTGGGCTTGCAAACACCCTTCTCCTTGGATTCCAGAATGCCAGGGGCATCTTCTCAGCCCTGTCACTGGCTTTGAGGCCAGACTTGGCCTTTCAGGACCTAAGACTGATTCTG